TACGCAATTCGGTTATTAGCGTGACGATATGCAAAAGAAAAAAGTGTCCCAACCTTCCCCACTTTCCCCCTAATTTTAGGATCGAATGCACTTTTCACAATTCCATTCTTTTTCGCTGTTTTCCATAGCGTCAACAGGCACTCTAATACTACAACATTTCGGATGGTACCATTTCAAACATTAAGTGCATTCGATCATGGCTTGATTTTCAATGTGAGACAGTTGGCAGTTGCAAAAAATCTGAATTCCCAATCTCTTCGTCGCGGGTACAACATGTTTATTGCTGACTTTAAATACTGACGAAAATTTTGTAGACACTATACCATTGCATATTTTCTTTCTAATATTTTTCTCGTCGAATAGGATATGCTCTGGTCTTATTTTGTTACATAGGGCTATGCAAAAACTAATTGAAAATGGACCACATGATGCACCTAAAGTTTGTTGCGGAACAGCGGGGAATTCAATTTTCATTTTATTTAATCCTAGCCTTGGTCGCATAAGAAGAGAAATCGCATATTTGTCATTTTCATTGTATTTAATATAAGAGCTATCGTATAGTATTTTGATCAGATGAGAAAATATTTGATGCCGTTACCCAGTGATTCTCATGCACAAATAAGATTTGAACAAACTTATCAGAGGAAACGTACACTTTTGGGCCAGATAGTGTTGTATAAAAAGTCGTACTTTGCAAACCGTCTACTTCAGGATACCGAGATGACAGAATTAGTTGCGTCGATTGTGTAGACACTGCTTTTAGCAAGACGAGACTGCTTTTAGCAAGACGAGACTATCACTATTTAGAGCAGGGTTTCCCAAACTTCTGAGTTCGCGGCCCCTTTTGAAATATTAAAATTTTTCGCGGCCCCTGTTCCCGTTACTAATGCTAAACAGTTCGAAATATTTTATTGACACAGTCAATTCTCAACTTTTAGTAGGCCTACTCGATAAAAAAAAAATTCACATTTACTCCGATTAACATTACTGTACTTAATTATTCAGGGTAATGAGTGCAAAAGTTTTGCAGCAAGTCCAGCAGTGGCTAATGTTTGTCGATTGAAGGCCTCAATGATAATGAATTACGATGTCTGGCCACCGGCGGCATGGTCCGTATCAGGCTTTGTTACTCACTTTCAATGATCAAATTTAGCATAAAGCAGCGGTTCGTGCGCGCCAGATTATCAGGAGAAAAAACTCACGGCGCATTTACACAAAAAAATGCTGCCTTTAGCTAACAAAACAATTTTATCATCGTTAATGTGTACTTTATGCCGTTTATAAACAAGTACTAGGCCTAAAGAATACAGGCAAAAAATTAACTTCTATTCCTTATCTCTGCCATGTTCTTCTTTGAGAATGTAAAAAAAACACTCATGTTGCAGCAAGTAGGGTTTACCTCTACTGTTACGTAACAATAGACCCTACGTAACCGAAAGTGAACAACATAGAGCAGTGAAATGAAAATATTGATTCATATTATACATCATGTAAATGATGAGAAATAATGAAACCTTTAGAATAAATAAAATATTCAATCATATATTAACACAAATATCTTAATTTTCGAAGCGCACTTCGGGAACCGCTGGCATAACGATTAAAGCCGGCATCGTTGTGCAATCAAATCGGGTTTACGATCAGTATACCCATTGTTATGCAAGCGCGAGGATTCTACCGTGTTTCCCCGAAAATAGGAGAATGCGACCTAGCCTTCCACTTAAAATAAAACTTACTCGATAGCGCAAGTTTTTTTTGACTCAGTCGATAGCAAGAAATCTTTCTACTCCTTTTTAAAGGTTAATAATCTGTTTAGCAGTTATTTTAAATAAAAACGTGTTATGTTTTCCTATTTTGTATATTTAAAAATTACGTAATTCCCTAATTTGTAAATTTGTTACTAAAAAATGAAAATGAAAGACATCACCTCAAAATAAGCCCCGGTGTTATTTTCCAAAAAAAAAATGGAGACACTGTCTTATTTTCGGGGAAACACGGTAAGATGATGTATTCACTCGGAATCGAGTTTTTTCACACTTGTTTTAATAATCGTATTTCGAATCAAGAGTTTGAAAAAGTGCAATAGATATAGTACTTTGTGTTAAATTGGTGTTCTCTTTGCCCCAAAAATTCGTTTCGCGGCCCCTAGTTTGGGAAGCCCTGATGTAAAGGGTTAATGGGGCCGCAGGCTCTGTTTTTGAAAATAAAGTAGCTTATGTATTAGCAAGTTACAGGAAGTATGTATTTTCGGGATATAGGCTTCTTGTATTTTGAAATAAGTAACACTATGTACAATGTGAAAACAGAGTGTGTATTTTCCACTAGTACACAACGTTTTTTTTAGAAAATTAGGTGACTCTGTTATAGTGGCTATACAGATACCCTGTATGTGGTGGGAACATGGGCCATGGATATACTGCTGCCAGAGATTTGGCTTGAAATTGTTTCACAGTGATAGACACTACTTGCTGCGATTTGGAGTTTGGAAACCATTGTCTGCTATATACACCGCAAAAAAGTTGCATTATGAGTAAACCCATAAGCACACCAATGATTTTAAAAGCTTAGACGAGCCAACTTAATACTCGCATAAATTAATTACATAGCAGATTGTAACACCTTTTCTATGTATCCTGGCAAATACAGGTGTCGCATAAGGCGGTGACTGAAATATCTGGATGTTCTTTGATTCTTGGAAAAACTGTTCGAAAACGCGCAACTCTCAGTGTGTCCTCCAATGCCACAAATATCAAATTGTTGTACAAAAAATTCGATATATTGCAATAAAATCCAGAAAGACAGTTCACGATATTGGATGAGGTTAAAGAGATGTAGCGAAGATAGGGATGGATGTGTAGTATTGAGTAATGATGCGTAGTTTTGCGATGCGATTTTCTGAATTTAAATAAAAATATTCGAAGACAGATCCTGTAATTGTAAAACAATAATGCTTTGAAGCTTAAAATATCAATTAAACTAAATAATATTCGAACAGTAGGAAATGCCGATCACAAATTATTATCAAAGGTACGAAAACGTTTTCTTGGATTGCATATCGTCACGCTAATAACCGAATTGCGTAAGTCATTTTTAGCGGTTTTGAGTTTTTCATAAAATAGGTATTTATCTAATGCTGCGCACCTGTCTGTTAACTCAAATTTTGTTTTAAGAATTCCAAAACCCATAAAAATAGAGATTTTGTATGATATGCAAATTTGTTCAATTGTTTCGTCATAATGAATTATCATTGTTAGCGCAGTACTATTGTGACGTCACAAAGGCAAAATAAACTCTGCGAAATTTTCGAGTTTTTTCATCTCAGATTCTAGCTTAGCGCTTATAAATTTCAATTTATACTACAGTATAGGAAGGCGTTCGTTGCACTTGATGATTCACTTCGTCGGTTATTTTTGTCTAGTGCTTTTATATTCACTTGTCTGTCCAATTCACCTTGGTTGCTTATATATAACTTTAGTCTTATTTCGGTGGATGTGCAGCGTTATATTGATGAAATATATATTTTTAAACATAAAAAATAATGTAATTGAAACAGATTAGCTATTTTGGGGATTAGACATCGTATATACTAAGAATTACATTCGTTTTTGGATTGTTTGGTTTTCAGGACTGGTACATATAGTCAAGTTGCAAAATTGCGTATGTCCCATGGTCGTAGACACATTTCTGCCTAAGTCACAGTGCCTCATTATGACGTCACATGACTGCGTCATACAAATTAACTTAAATCGGCTACGATCAAAAAGTTGAACTATGGCAAATTATTGACTCTCAATGGCATAGCAATATCATTAGGAAGTTTTTTACGTTTTTCTCAAAACTGCTAAAAATGACTTACGCAATTCGGTTTAGCGTGACGATATGCTTTGGCGCACTGCACTAGAATCAGTCCAAAATACAGATTCACAATCAGAATAATTCAACTTCAATCGTAGCCACCTATCCAAATTATTATTATTTGTAGAAAATTAGTGAAAATCAAAACCAACTTATAAATTTATAATTTTATATGCAGTACTTCTAAAGTAAAAACATTTTTCTTATTATTTTTTTTTTAGTCTTAATCGTGATTTTTCCAAAAATCGTTTTATTTCAATTAACAGGAACATTCTTCAATTTATTCACGCTGTGACACCGGTCACAGAATTAGATTAATAATACACTATATACGTAATCATACGATATTCGTGTGTAGATATTTTTTTTACGCGATGTCTGGCAAATTAGAGGAGAGTTAATTAGTGATTTTAATCCAGGTCGTGAGGGCCGCTGTTTTAAAATCAATGAGAAATTGATGCAATGCGAAAAGTTGAAAATCGGATAGAGCATTCTTTTCTCGTATAAATCATTGGAGAATTGAGTTTCAGATATAAACAAAATTATATGTTTTCATCCGAGAATAGTAGTATGATGATAAGAGTGACTGTGGGGCCTATCTGTGATTGTAGCTTGAACCAATGTTACGTGCCGAACAAAGGGAAACAGCCTCAATTTCCATTCATTAAAGGAAGCTATAACACAAATAGTAGAAACTAGGATTACGAATTCCAATATAAGCATATCAACGATTTTCATAAACAGTTGGAGTACGCATGGGATATAAAGGAAATAAAAGGACCGATCATCATTGCAATGATCGTAATTGCTGTGGCAATCGAAGACCGTTTAATTCGTTTAATCAATCTTCTTGATTGTGCATTATGAATGTTTCGAAATTTCCATAAAGGATAAACAAAGAGAAAAAGTAAGGAAAATTGGAAAATTGCCATGGCAATAAACCCAGATGCTGCTTGCAATCGCAATATGTAGTCTGGATATTCCTTTTCAGCTGCGCAACCTGTTGAGGTATTGCTATATTCACCACGAAAAAGTTGAATGATTAGTAAACCCGTAAGCACACCAATGATAATAAAATTAAAACGAGCCAACTCAATGTTCGCATAAATTTGTTGCATAGTGGCTTTAGTAAATCCGACCCGTAAAATTGTCTCTGTCGCATCCAATAAATCAGATACGGTATGAAGAGACAAATTGCGACTAAAACATGCTTCACATATCGCAAGTTTCTGCATAAATCCACTTCAACGTCATAAGAATAACGTAATTCAACAGCATCAAGGCATCCGAGAACAACGAACAAAAACAGAAACGTTATGATCAAGTATCTCATAACGTCATCGACTATATGTTTCTTCATTCTCGAATATCGATTCTTCTGACGAATTCGGTCCATGATTTCTCTGTTCTCTTTTTGAACTTTCCATTCGTAAATCAAAGTTACGACGAGGACGTAGATGTTTAATAAAAATGTAAAAGATGCAAAAATCACAGCCGCCAGCCATTGTTTATATACTTTGGCTTCGATATAGTATGAATCAATATCATTGGCCGAAACATTTTCGCTTGTCTGTAGAAACCACATATTGTAAAAACACTGAAAACGTCAAAATCAAATTTTATTTATAATATCTAGATATATATATATATATAGATTCTTTTTAAAAACAAAATTGGATTACCGGTAAATAATAGTGCAGTGCCATTCGCACAAAACGACATTTATTTTTATTCATTATATGTTTGTCGAGTGAAATTTTATATATATACCATTCAAAAAATTCGAAATTTAAGCCAAATTCTGATTCCTCTAAGCTGGATATAGGCAAAGCCCAATATTGATCGTTGATAATAGAACGTTCGGCCGTACTTTAGCCTCATATTTTCAGAAAATAATAATATTTGTGCTTATTCAATTGATGTCGTGAGTTTGATACGAAGTTATGCATTAACAGAAATAAACTCTTATGCTTTGGAGTGCGTGCTTATACTTGCTACATCACCCAAAACTATTGGACTAAATTCTGTAGAATCTTGAAATAGGTCACGACAAGAAAAAACATGGTAACTTGCGTACAGCACATTCTCGTAGACAAAATATGAGTTTTCTCATTTTACAAACATTCTTATAAACAATTTCGGCCGTGTCCATTTTAGCGAAAAATTACTGAAGGTATTACACGCCCATTTCTTGGCACCATATATATATCACTAGTTCTTTGCAGAGAATTATTATTGATAATATATTCATAACTCCTGCTATAAGCGATGCTCTGATATATTGGCTT